TTCCCATGGGTGATACGTGTGAGAACTGGAGAAATGGATTTTTTTGGGTAGTGGGACATTGCCTCTGGAATAATTTCCCACAGAATATGCATCTAAACCAAATCAGACCACATTTAAATCATGTTCTGTTGCAAGAGATTTCTCTTTGTCTTGACTCCCACTTACTGTAAATTGGAACCCCTCTGCCCTAAGCCCAATTACTAGGTTTTTTCCATCTTCTAAAGCTTCAGAGTTGAAGTATATTTCTTCCTATGGGCCCAGTTCCACAAACCTCACTCATATGAATAATTCTTATTCATGAATGTGGTCCAACTGGCTTCATGAGAGTAAGCCTTTACAAGATCATGCTCTATAGCTGTGAACAGTAATAAATACCAACCCACAGTGCAGCTAGATAACACAGTGATGGGTACACTGTATCAATCTAAAGATTGATTGTCCTGATATATCTTACATATTTATATAACTAGAGTCAAGGTGGTGAAAAATAATAATAATATAATACTAATTAAATAATAAATTAAAAGGCCAATTCCTTAAATCTTTACTCAGTCATAACTGCTATTCCCTTGAATTAGAGTTCTGTCTGAATAAAAATTGAGTAAAGAATCTGGGATTTGGCAAAATAAAAGTAATTGTGATGATATCCTGTCAATAATAACTAATTAAAAAGTTTTCCAAACACAGGGAATAGAAATGACCCTCTTTCGAGTTTGTGTGACTATTAGGTATTCCATAGACTACAATGCTTTCTTGAGTTAGCAGCTACCACAGTCTATTGGATAAGCAGATAAGGCTTCAGAACTCTTGAAATATCAGCTTCTGCAGTACTCTGAGATCGCATGACACATAAGCCAATTGTAGTTTATCATGAGTATGCATATATTACCAGTAATTTGCACTTAATTTTATTTTGCATCTACAGATCTCAACATGGATTACAAGGTTGGGTAAGCATCATTCCTATTTCACAGATGGGGTAAGTGAGGTACAAAGAGGTTAAACAACTTGCCCAATATAAGACATCAAATTATTGTCAGTGCAAAGATTAGAACTCATCTCCTGATTCCGAGCCCCATGCTTCACCTACTAGACCACTTTGGCAAAGAAATATTCTCAGGAAATTTTCAGATATTATTTGTATAATAATAAAGTTATAATGCTTCATGGTATAGTTATAATGCCACCATGATGAGAGATTCAGTTGCACAACTTCTGTTTAGAAAAAGTGATGTCTTCTGTTTGTCTTTTATTTTGAACGTAATGTGAAACAAATAATAAATAAATCAGCCTGGTACTGGCTGCTGTCAAGCTGTACCACCACTTGAAATCCAAGTGGTTGGGGGGAATCTTTTAAAGAGATCATATTTCATTGTTGTGCCTTTAGCTAGAAATGCCAATTTGGTTGTTTCTCTTTCCAAGACTCATTTTCACATGATGAGTCAGTGATTGCCAGAAAACCTCCTTGTCTGAGGAACAAGCACCAGCAGAAAATGTGCTCCAACCACATTCCCGTAAGGTCTGCAAATGTCAGGTACTTCAGACACGTGAGTGTGTGTCACATTTATATCCTTTCTGCAACAGCTTCTACTGCTTTATCTTAGGGCTGATCCACCCAGATTTGTTCTGATCTAACTATGTCACTTTAGAAACCAATGTAGTTAAATCAGTGTAATCCCTTATTGTGTATGCAGATACACTGGAAGAAGGGTGCTTATACTGGTATAGATTATTTCAATAAATTTACAGAAATAAGCTACACTGATATAAACACCCACTTTATACTGCTATATCCATCCTAAGGGGTTGCACTACTCTGTATAACTGGGATATAATTATACTGGTACAACAACTGTGTGTAGACCAGTCCTTAGATTTGTCTGAATAACAAATTTTCTCTTTCACTTCTTGCTAACAGTCTTTCTAACATAAGAGTTCTAAATGCCTAGTAACTTTTATTTTTTGTCAGGAGTGGGGTGTGAACACAGGAAATGCAATACTGGATCAGACCAACATTCCATCTAGTCCAATATCTAGTATCTGACATTAGTCAGCTCTGGATGTTTGACTGAAAGGCATTAGAAAACCCTTTAACACATTTAACTGTGTAGGAGAAATTCCTTCTGACCCTAGCTCAGAGGTGGGCAAACTATGGCTTACGGGATCCTCCTGCCCAGCCCCTGAGCTCCTGCCCCAGGAGGCTAGCCCCCAGCCCCTCCCCTGCTGTTCCCCCTTCCCCGCAGCCTCTGCTCGCCCCGCCGCCGGCGCAGCGCTCTCGCCGGTGGGGCTGCGAGCTCCTGGGGCAGTGCAGCTGCAGAGCCCGGCCTGTCCTGGTGCTCTAGGCAGCGCGGCTATAGCACCACCAGCCACTGGTGCTCCAGGCAGCGTAGTAAGGGGGCGGGAAGCAGGGGAGGGTGGGTGGGTGGATAGAGGGCAGGGGAGTTCGGGGTGGTGGTCAGGCGGCGGGGCAGTCAAAGGGCGGGGAACAGGGGGGTTGAATGGGGACAGGGGTCCGGGGGGGCAGTCAGGAAGGAGGGGGGGTTGGATGGGGCAGCGGGGTACAGTCAGAGGTTCCAGGGGCGGTCAGGGGACAACGAGAAAAGGTGGTTGGATGGGGCAGGAGTCCCGGGGGTGGGGAGGAATCAGAAATGAGAAGAGAGGTTGGATGGGGTGATGGGGGGCAGTGAGGGATGGGGGTTCTGGGGGCGGTCAGGGGACAGGGGAGGTGGATGGGACAGGGGTCCCGGGGGCAGGGCCAGCTTTAGGCCAATTCCCCCGAATCGGGCCCCGCGCCCTAAAGAAGAGCGCCTAACTTAGGTGCCTTTTTAATTTTTTACTCACCCGGCAGCAGTCTGGGTCTTCGGCGGCATTTCGGCGGCAGGTCCTTCAGTGCCGCGGAAGACTCTGAGCAAGTGAAGGACCCACCGCCGAAGTGCCACCAAAGACCCGGACCACCACCAGATATTCGAATCAGGCCCCGCACTTCCTAAAGCCAGCCCTGCCCGGGGGTGCTGTCAGGGAACGGGAGGTTGGATGAGGCAGGAGTCCCGGGGGGGGGGGAGAGGTGTCAGGGGGCGAGAAGCAAGGGGGGATAAGGGGTGCGTTCTGGGCCACGCCTGGCTGTTTGGGGAGGCACAGCCTTCCCTAACCGGCCCTCCATACAATTTCCGAAACCCGATGCGGCCCTCAAGCCAAAAAGTTTGCCCGTCCCTGCCCTAGCTGATGATCAGTTGATGCGCTGAAGTAAGTGGATTGATAGCTTTATAATTTTATCCTTCCTGATGTAAATACTGCACAGACCTTATTCATAATGGGGCAAATTCTGATGTCTTTATTCAGAGAAATTCCCAGTGGCTTCAATGGAAGTTTTGTCGAAGTAAGGATTTGGGCAACTGAGTCTAACCAATTTTTATTTTTTTCTAATTTTAATAATCTCAGTCTCTGCTTTGAAAGGCAATGTGGTTTAGTGGCTAATGTGCTATACTGATTAAGCATCTATTCACAAGTAGTCCCATTGAAATCAATGGGGATAGCATGAATGAGAACCCAGGATTGGGTACTAAGCCCTCCTTATCCTTACATATCTTTTGATTGTAAGCTGATGAAGTTAACATCCTGAAGAAGGGAGAATTCAGCGACTGTAGATAAATGACTATGATGTGCAGCCTCTTCTTAATATCCCAGAAAGGTGCATGGGAGTGAAGGTCTCTGAGTATATGTAAGTATACATTTAATTAAAGCTGTTCTTTTAATTTCCTTACAGGTGCATGCATGGTGGGAGCAAGGAGTGGCTGGGATTACTTAGCCCTTTTTCTGATTCATACCACAAGGGCACAGAAAATTAAAAACATCTGTTTGATTCCAGTGGTACAAAACATGAGTATCATCTGAGATGTACAAACAAGAAGGCTGACATTATTTGCAGCAAATGAGAGGATAATTAGACACCTACCAATGCTACAGTCACATTTCCTGTCACATGGAGAGGATGACACACCAAGAACGGATTTGGAAAAACTTTGCTGACAGTGAAAGTGGAAAGAATGTAGAATGAACCTTCCTTGATAAAAACATACTACAGCATTCAGCAAAATGGTCCAAAATATTACTGCTTACAATAGCATTACTGCAGGTACAAATCCTGTGTCTTTTTTCAATGGAAGCTTTGCCTAAATAAGGACTGTGAGACTTGGCCTACACTCCCTTACAGTGTTTTCAGACTTTATTAAGCTTTTATTAGGCCTGAATTCAGATTCAGAAGCATGACTAAAGCCAAAAATAGCAGTATAGTATTTGGGTAAAGCTGAGTATCTCTGTATGTTTTATTTTTTGGCAGGCCTTTTTAAAAGCGTCAGGCAGCCATTGATGGGGACAAAACATGAGTTTTGGTAGTACTGAGGGTATTTTCATAATATTTTCTTTGATGTTGAAAAGATCAATGACTAGATTTTCAGCTGCTGTAAGTCAGTGTAGTTTCATTGGCTTCAGTGGAGCTATGCTGATCTGCATTTGATGAGGATATGGCTTCAAATCTCATGAAATGTACTGGGATGCAGTAAAAAAGCAAGTGGAAAAATGTAAATACACACACACAAAAAACGAACAGTAGGCATGCAAATCAAATAGCCCTCATATACACCATTGAGGACTACTAGTCATTTGTATTTCCTAAAGTCTATTCTTGTAGCAATTAATTATATTTTGTTACACAGATGTAAATCAGCATAAACTCTCTGAAAACAGTATAGCTGCTCTAGATTATGCTAATGTAACTAAGAACAGAATTTGAGCTGTATTATATTTATGAACTTGGAACCAAACTCTTATTTCTGGAAAAAACTATGTACAGCCCTTTTTTAAAAAACCTGCTAATCTACTGGTTCTAATCATTTAAAACAAAACGGAGAACAATCACAAAGCAGATGGAGGGAAAAATATTATTTGGTTCCTTTTTTCCAGTTTAATAACAGTGAAAATTAGTATCTGAAAAACTGTCTTACCTGTCTTTAAACTCAGTGGCCTCAAGGGTGTTACTGAAGCTCTTTCCCTCAAGGATAAAAGGGAGGGGGACAAAGACAAGTTCTTTCAAGATTACTCATTTGTCAGAGCTGTGATACCTGAGCTTGTAAAACAGGATCTCTCTCACCTGTGGAAAAATGACACAAGTTTTTTCAAGCTATTATCTCTGTCCCCTATACCTGCCCATATGTGGAGTCAAATCCTGCTCTCCTTAATCATGGGAGTATTCCTAATAATGCTCATAGGACTAACTGCAGGAGTAAAGCAAGCACAATTTGGCCTGTAATCAGGATCCCACCATCAAATGCTTTGTCACAGAGTTTTTTTAGTTTATAAATCAATGGACTAGTGCCAGTAACTATTGCAGAGTGGAACTAATCCAACTGGGGCTACGGTCAATATTAATTATGGGCTGTGCTGGTGTGATTTTCATTTCAATATTTCCTTTAACAAAGACAAATCTAAAAGGTATTAAGTCTGACATTTTAAAAAGACAAAAACAGTTATAGGGTTCTCATCTATTTGTAACTCCATGTAAATTATGGAAGGAACTAATTCACACAGAGCTGTGCATTCTATGAGGTAAAGGATCATATATACCTGTCCCTTTGAATTTCTCAGAAGACATTATAAGCCAAATTTCTGCAGGTTCCTATGTTGCCTAGCTAATTTTCATTGCACTCAGCTTGGCTTTGTGAATATTAGCGAAAGTAAAACCCCAGATCCAAATAATACTTTCAGTAACACCAATACAACCCCACTGACTTCTTTGGAATTGCAGCAGTATAAGTGAGAGCAGAGTTTGGCCCATAATCTTTGAAGTCCTCTGAAGAGGATAAAGTCCAGATCTTCAGCTGGTATAAAATGGTGTAGCTTAACTGAAGTCAATGGTGAAACACTGATCATAGAGTTGCCAACTTTCTGACTGCAGAAAACCGAACACCCTTGCCCTGCCCCCTGCCCTGAGGCCCCACCCCTTCTCTGAGGCCCCCTCCCCCCATCGCTCACTCTCCCACACCTTTGGCTCACTCACTTATTTTCACAGGGCTGGCGTAGGGGGTTGGGTTGCGGGAGGGGTGAGGGGTGAGGGCTTCAGCTGGGGGTGTGGGCCGTGGATGAGAGGTTTGGGGTGCAGGAGGGGCCTCTGGGCTGGGGCAGGGGGTTGTAGTGTGGGAAGGGGTGAGGGCTCTGCTGCTAGTACACACAAACCAAAGAGCAAGCAAAAGTGAAGTGGAAACGTACGATACAAGGAGAGGTCCAGGAGGAAATTAGAACAAGGAGTGAAGCATCTCCCTTTTCTTTGTAGGAGGTCATTACCCCTCCCCCACCTTCTGCAGCGTTCCTTCCTTGATCTCTCTGATAAACTCTCAAGAACCTTTTAGTAACTCGGAGCCAAAAGTCTCCTTTTACCCATATCTTGTACAGTATGGAAGTGCCTGCACATTTTATATAGGCCTTTCGACAGATGAATTAAATGTGGCCAGCATGCATTATATAACCCACACATACTGTACATGCTATATGACTTATGTAATATACATTACAAAATGCATTGTCTAATGGTTAGAGTACCAGACAGGGGACCAGGATTTCCAATGTTCTCACTCTGGGTATGTTTACACTTAAAACTCTGCAGTGGTGTAACATTGCACTGCTGTAACGCTTCAGTGTAGATACTACCTGTTGGCATAGGTAACCCACCTCCCCAAGAGGCAGTAGCAAGGTTGATGGGAGAATTTTTCCCTAGCGCTAGGGTTGCCAGCTTTGGTTGGACGAATTCCTGGAGATTTTATCACATGACATCATCTTTAATTCCTAGCAACTCCAGGTTGTCCTGGCAACCCTACCTAGCGCTGGCTTACACCGAGGGTTAGGTTGGTACAGGTACGTCTCTCAGGGGTGTGGATTTTTCACACCCATGGGAGACATAGCTATACCAAAATAAATTCCTAGTACAGACCAGGCCTTTGCTTTAGCCAATGATTTGCTGTGTGACTTTGAGCAAATAATTTGAAATTTGTGTCTCTATTTTCACATATGTAAAATTTAGATATTCACTTACCAACGTTGCAGCCCAGCAGATATTCCAGTAGGCTCCATTAGAATCCTTCAGCTAGATACGCAGGCTAGCTATTCCACAGCTTGATGGTTCCAAATAATCTGAAAAGTTTTATTAAACAAATCAGGTATCCCCGACTCTCACAAAACTTAGTCACCATTGGCAGACTGACTTCCTGTATGTCACAGCAGAAATGTCTCAAGTGTCATTCACACTTTCACTCATGAAGGCCCTTATGATTGTAACAACTTCCCACTTAGGACCAGATTTTGGCACTTAATTATTGTCTCATCTTAAGAACAGTGCAGAGTTGTACCAGCAGGATCTCTGGAAAGCAGGATGATTTGGTAAGGCATGATACCACTTTCAGCTCTGTAGTATGGATGGGGAGTATGTCCAATATGCCACCCCTTAGAGGGAAATTCATGCTGTGCCTTCTGTGGCTAGTGAGGTTAGTAGAACCATGGCCCCCTCACCTTCTTGGCTAGCACCCTAGGATGAAGTCAGGACAGGGATTGCAAATGTATCCCCTATACATTGCAGCTGCAAAAGGGCCATCCACATTCTGACTATTGATGTACTCTAAAGAACCTTCACCTATTCCTTCAGAAAAAATCAGCTATGACCACACCTCATTCTGAATTGGTTTTGTATTGTTTTGCACTATATTGTATCCATATGTATCTTTAGACTGTAAGGTCTGTGGGCTAGAGCAGTGGTTCCCAAACTTTAACAACCTGTGAACCCCTTTCGCTAAAATGTCGTCTCGTGAACCCTCTCCTAAAAATGAATATTTCCAGGGATTTTCTCCTTTACCTGAGTATAAATTATAAAAGCAGTGATCTTGGAAATATAAAATTTGTTTTTATGACATGCTTATTACACACTTTATTATTAATTATTATTTATCATTACAGTATTTTTATTACATTATGAAAACGGCAACACTCTTCCAAGATCTCACTTTCGTAGCTCGTATCACTTTGAATAAGCCTGTTATAAGATAAGGCTCCTATGTTTCATCAAGGAGTATCAGATGTAAAACAGCATGAAGGTATTTAAGAAGCCAACTTAGAGAGTTCCTCCTACACAAGCGTTCAACTCTTGAGCAGTCCAGGCAACAGAGCCGGCTCTAACGTTTTTGCCGCCCCAAGCAAAAAAAAAGAGCGCCGCCCCGCCGTAACACCCCCCCCGAGCGCTGCGCTGCCCCGCCCTGCCAAAACACACCCCCGAGCGCTGCCCCGCCCACCAAAACGTCCGCTGAGCGCCGCCCCACCCCGCCAAACCCCCCCGAGCGCCACCGAAATCCCCCCCGAACGCCGTGCTGCGCTGCTGAAACACCCCCCTGAGCACCACGCCGCCCCACCGAAACCGCCCTCGAGCGCCGCCAAAACCCCCCCGAGCGCTGCACCGCTGAAACACCCCCCCGAACGCTGCCCCGCCCCACCAAAACAGACCCCCAAGCGCCGCCCCACCACGCCAAACCCCCCCCGAGCACCACCCCACCCTGCCGAAACACCCCCCCAAGCGCTGTGCCGCCCTGCCGAAACACCCCCCCGAGCGCCGCACCGCCAAAACACCCCCCCCCGAGTTCCGCGCCGCCAAAACACACACCCCCCAACACCGTGCCATGCCACGCCACCAAAACAAAAACAACCCACCCCGCTGAGCGCCACCCAGCTGAAACAAAAACAACAACAGCAAAAACCTCATGCGCCGCCCCGCCAAACCAAAAAACAAACAAACAAAAAAAACCAGCGCCTCCCACCACCCCAAGATTGGCCGCCCCTTACAAGGTGTCACCCCAAGCACATGCTTGGTCGGCTGCTGCCTGGAGCCGGCCCTGCCAGGCAAACAATGCACGTTACAATAAAGCTTAGCTGCCTATTTAATTTTAAAAACAGCAAAATATATCCACCTCCCTTTCCATTTCTTATAAGGAGTCCTTGAAGTTTAAATCTCATCAGTGTGATAGATTATGCTTGCTTTGATCTGCTTAGCTCTTGGAAGTCCAGGGGCTCGGGCTGCTGGCCCCGGGCTGCCCAGGGTCCCTAGGGACAGCTCTGTCCACCATTAGGGATTTTTTTCCCCGAGAACCCCCTATAACATTTCACGAACCCCAGTTTGGGAACCACTGGGCTAGAGGATGCTATCTCTTGTTGGACAAAGTCTCAAAGTTCAGAACTGGATCCAAACTTTACCAGAGTTTAATGGTGTTCAGATCTGAGGGTTTGTTCAGGCCCACATTCGGTTACTTTGTTTGATCCATTTTACAGGGCTGTACAAATTTACAATGCTGCATAAATAATGGATAACAATATCATTCAACTAATCACCGCTGCCTTTAATTACTGGCACGATGTAATAAGAAAAACTTCAGCCCTGAATGAATTAGATGGCTAAACATCCTAAATAATTAAAGTGGTCAGGACACCTTTGATCTATACAGTGTCCGACTCATACTCAGATGTCTTGAGATCCTCATTGCCAGACCAAGAGAAAAAAATCAACAGAAATTGTGTTGCTTTTCTACAGTCGTAATAATTCAAGTAGTAAGTTCCAATGCTGAAACAACAGGCAGTTCAGGAAATACTTCTTTCTCTTATTTCAGCCAATCTCCTCTTAGTATGATTATGTCATCTAAAAATTATGCAATATGACAATGTTGAAAACAAGCCAAAATTCCTGTCCCAGTGAGATCACAATGAAACTGCTTATGAGCTAAATTAGTCATAATGTACCCTACAGATAAGTCACTTTAACAGTGTATATTACTGTATGAGTAACTGTCAATGCAAATAAATACCATTGTCTGAGTAGGGAAATCCACAACACTCAGACTTTTAAATAATTAAAACCAGTCTACTCACTACCTGAATAATGTAGAAGATATGTTTTTTTCAATTTGCAAATATTATATAAAAAGTGAAAAAGAAAACCAATAAAAAAATAAAGGCCACATCTGTGCTGACCAATAATAGGTTCATACAAGGCATACATCAGCACAGAAAGTACTTTGTATCCATTTTCAGGAGAATTTATTCTGAAACTTTCTTTTTCTTTACAATGTTTTAAGTTATGTGATTTAAATTTTGTATTGAATTTTAAAAAGATGAAAAGAGAGGAGATGAAAAATGGAGGGGAATAAACAGCTGTGAGATACAATCATCCAAAGAGAAATAATCCACATATACAGACAGCAAGTTTTCCTCATGTTTAACGCTACATGTCAAGAAAGTGAAGATTGTTTTAAAATCCCTAACTTTATCAATAATACAGTAACTGACCCACTCAAAATTTGCAGGACCTTCCAAATTAGTGTACCCTAGCTTTAAGGGTCTGATACAATTCACTTCAACTGGAATATGGACCTAAATTTTTCCTGGCATTTCCCCAACAGTTAGCCCTCAATCATGTAGCAATCCATAATAAATTTTAATATGAACATTTCCTGTGCTTTTTCTAATACCAGGAAGACTATTCAAATCACAACTATTTTGAGGCCACAACCTAAGTCAGTGTTCGGAATGATATTTAATCTCTGTATCATCTCCTTCCAAAAAGAAAACACAATAGGACAATGCCATAGTATGCAGTATGCAACAAGTAGCCATTGTCTTAATTGAAATTCCAACATCTGTTATTACATGTTATGTTTAAGTATTTTGGCAGGGGTCCAGTTTGTTCTAAACAGGATTTTCATTGATGTATTCATCTCAATTTGAGAGTAAATGAAAAACTCTTAATATTTCCACAAGTTCTAATCAAGACTTGTTAGAGAATCACATTTAAATCAAATCCCCAACAGATCCTGCACTTGACCAGCATTTTAATGAAAGATAATAAGAACCTATACTTTATGGACACAAGACACTGTAAAACAATTGTAGAGGGATATGAATGTATGGTATTTGGGGAAGGGGCGACAGGAAGGGCCAAAAACTGCTTGCCAATCTCTCATTTTTAGAACAGATTTATGTGGGAGTTTTGCCTGAGTAAGGACTTCAGGATTGTGTCTTCTAAATGCACTGACACCTTTTAGTAACTATTTAAATGGTCCCAACTGTTCTATACAGTTTTAGTAAAGCTAATACAGGGTTGAGGCTTAAATTTATAAGATTTTTAAGATTATTCAGTACCTTTATCAACATATGTTGCTTCTGATTCCCTGACTGACCATGTAAAGATTGCATTTTCTTATTCAGCAGATCTGCACCCTGTGTGTGTATTCAGAATTATACCTGCTTTTTTTTTTACTAAGCTGGGCTTTATTTAAAAATTGCCTTTTATGTCTTTTGTCATTGTAATTCAATACAGAACTGTTAAAGCACGCAGGATTATTTTCTGACTCATTCATCATAAACAGAATTGTTAATAATAATGTGTATAAACCTTTATTATTGGTTATTAGAGTTGCACAAACAGTAAAAAAAAATTCATGAAGATTTGACAAATTAAAAGATAAATTCTGAATTGCCGTGTTCCCAACACATTTCTATGTGCTTTTTGCAAACATTCATGTAAGATATGTACATATAAATGTTAATGGAAAATGAATTTCACACTGTACCTGAAATTATTTCATGAGGAAACAAAACTCCTTTCAAGCAGAAGGGGAAGCGGTTGATTTCTTGCTTTTCCTACTCAATTTATCCAAGAAAGACTGCTGTTTCTTTGCAATAGGATAATGTGGTCTGCCACTGCAGAGGGGTAGGTTCTGAAGATGAAGCCATGCTATGTTGATTGTATCTCTGTTATGACTATTCTCATGTATGGGATCCAAATGTGTATTTTTGACAGATCATTTCTCCCTTCAGTGCTACCACTCTTGTTCAATGTGTGTGTGTTGATGACCAGTAAAGACAGTTTAAAACTGAATAAACAGTAAAGACAGTTTAAAACTTCTTCATAGTGAAATTGAGGGACAGACTTGCTGAAATGCTCCTCAGAGCCCTGTTTACAGAGGCTATTACAGGGATCCAATCACAGCTTTCTCAACTAGCAGTTCACAGAAATAACTATGCCACAACTACTGTATGTAAATGATCATTGTAAATGATAATGGAGGAGAGGAAGCTGGAGACCAGTAAACTAAGACAAT